AATAATAAGATGAATAATTAATAATAAAAGCAAAAGTTGAAAATAAAATAATGAGCTTAATTAACAAAAAAAGAACAAAAAAAAAGCAAGCACATGAAAAATAAAAAGAAAAAAGAGCTTTATTGTTTTTAATTAGTTTTTATAATTAAAAATATCACAATCCAAAACAAATAAACTGTTTTTACATAAGGTAAAGTGTCAAATTTGAGAGATTAATGCAATTTGCTAAAGCAGAACCTAAGCCTGATGCACCTTCATCACCAATTTAATTATGCCTTTTTAAATATTGAAGAAAAAATATATCATTAAATAGTTAATTAGAAGGAAAAAATGAAGAAAAAATATGAAATAATAAGATAGATTAATTAATAATAAAAAAAAAATTTGAAAATAAAATCATGAGCTTAATTAAAAAAGAAAGAACAAAAAAAAGCAAGCACAATAAAAAGAAAAAGAAAAACAAAAAAGATCTTTATTGTTTTTAATTAGTTTTTATAATTAAAAATATCACAATCCAAAACAAATAAACTGTTTTTACGTAAGGCCAAGTGTCAAATTTGAGAGATTAATGCAATTTGCTAAAGCAGAACCTAAGCCTGATGCACCTTCATCACCAATTTAATTGCCACTTTTTAAATATTGAAGAAAAAATATATCATTAAATAGTTAATTAGAAGGAAAAAATGAAGAAATAATATGAAATAATAAGATGAATAATTAATAATAAAAGCAAAAGTTGAAAATAAAATAATGAGCTTAATTAACAAAAAAAGAACAAAAAAAAAGCAAGCACATGAAAAATAAAAAGAAAAAAGAGCTTTATTGTTTTTAATTAGTTTTTATAATTAAAAATATGACAATCCAAAACAAATAAACTGTTTTTACGTAAGGTAAAGTGTCAAATTTGAGAGATTAATGCAATTTGCTAAAGCAGAACCTAAGCCTGATGCACCCATTGCACCAATTTAATTGTCACTTTTTAAATATTGAAGAAAAAATATATCATTAAATAGTAAATTAGAAAGAAAAAATGAAGAAAAAATATGAAATAATAAGATAGATTAATTAATAATAAAAAAAAAATTTGAAAATAAAATCATGAGCTTAATTAAAAAAGAAAGAACAAAAAAAAGCAAGCACAATAAAAAGAAAAAGAAAAACAAAAAAGAGCTTTA